TGTCCTCCTGATGGTTGGTACATCATTGTAAACAATATTAGGTGTACAATTTTACTTCCGCCGTTTTTTTTCCAAAATTCGAGGCTTTATTGTAAGAAAACTGGTTATACATTTATGATTCAAAGTATTGTCCATCGCTGGCCCCTACTTTCTCCTATCTTTCGGGTAGCGTACGAATCCCGCGTCGAAAAAACTGGTCATCTTTTGAGGCGATCCATGAATCGATCCAATTTTTTACTTCTTTATAAGACCGGAAGTGCTGGTCAGCCAGGTCGTGTGCCATTGATCAAAACAAGTGATAGTCAGAGGGAGCAACGTCTGGAGAATACGGCGGGTAGGACTTCCCATTTCAACGTTTCCAAGTATGTCTTGACCACTTTCGCAACACGGGGTCGAGCATTGTCATGCTACAAAATCACTTTATTGTGTCTCTCGTTGTATTGCGGCCGTTTGTTTTTCAATGCTCGGCTCAAACGCATCAATTGCGTTCGATACCGATCGCCTGTGATTGTTTCAGTCGGTTTTAACAGCTCATAATACACTATGCCGAGCTGGTCCCATCAAATACAGAGCATGACCTTGGAGCTGTGAATATTCGATTTGGCTGTCGACGTGGAAGCATGGCCGGGAACTCCCCATGATTTTCTGCGCTTGAGGTTATCGTAATGAACCCATTTTTCGTCTCCAGTCACAATGCGATGCAGAAATCTCTTCCGTTTTTGCCTTTCAAGCAGCTGTTCACAAGCAAACAAACGCCGTTTATCATCTCTCGGTTTTAATTCGTACGGCACCCAATTTCCTTGCTTTTCTTGAATCATTCCCATGGCTTTGAGGCGTTTTGAAATGGCTTGTTGAGTCACTCCCAATAATCGTGCCAATTCTTCTTGATTTTGACACGAGTCTTGATCAAGTAATGCCTCCAATTCTGCATCTACGAAAACCTTCTCTCTTCCACCGCTATGCCGGTCTTCGACGTCAAAATCACCGTTCTTGAAGCGTTGAAACCATTCGCAACACGTTCTTTCACTAATAGTGGCCTCACCATAAGTATTTGAGAACATTTGATGAGCCTCAACCGCAGATTTCTTCATATTGAAGCAGAAAATTAAAATCTCCCGCAAATGACGAGAATTTGGCTCGTAAACTGACATTTTCAATCGAGAATAACTTTATGATGTAAACACAAATCGACTAATGTTTCTATGGAGTTATGTTGACAGATGCCCAAGTTTATTGTATGACGTCTGTGATCTATTTATTTCGACCACCACTTACCGCTAAAGCCATCTATAGGAAAACGGCGGAAGCAAAGTTGTACACCTAATATTTTTTAACATTCCCTATAAAAAAACCTAGAGAATTTAAATCAGCAGAATTTCTATTCTTTTTTTTCCTCTTTCGTGTAATTATATATTTTTTTCATATATATGTACTTTTCCATGTTCAGGATTATTTAAAGGTCATGTTGTCATAAGTCATAAGTCAATGTTGTCTGGACTCCCGAAATTGGCTATAAAAACATGAAAAAAAAAACATGTAGTTCTATTTAAAAAAATTATCTTGACCTACAAACTTCTGCAAAAATTATCTTGTAAAGAAAAATTTTTCTGTCATTATAATTTTCCCCTCGAACGATGCGACTTTATTTTTAGATATTTTTTTGTATTATAAAAAGTGAGAAATTTAAGATACTCGATTGAAGTGGACTATCCTGGGTATGTGTTGTGTGTTGTGTGTGTGTATGCGCGCATATCACACATATATGTGATGTTCCATTTTAAAAGATACACTGAAATGTTTCTTCAGGAAAACATTTAAGAAAAAAATGTTTTCAACGAAAGTTGTAGAGTTCAAAAAGAGACACCCGATGGTGACTTTGACCTTGGTTTGATTTAGGGATTATTTGAAATTTAAATATATTCAACTTAGTTTCTTTAGATAGAAACTCCTACTTCCGACTGCAGAATTTAAAAAGCAAGAAATTTTGCATTTAATTATGTATTATGTTATGAGGTAAAATTGACCTTGGAGGTTATTTCAAAGTCATAATAGTTACTACTTATAAACATTTCGAAAAATATTTAAAAGGATTAAATTTACTTACCGCTCATTTAGAGTTCAGTTTACCCATTTTAAATAACTTATGTATTTATAATCTTTAGAAAAGCATTGTGAAAAAATTAATATACCGATCAGATCAAACGTATCCTTAGGAACATTTTGCAAGCTACTTTTCTATCTTAAATAATTTACTGGAATATCTGTACTGAAAAGCTATTAAAACGAAATATTTATATTTGGATTAATTGTTGTGTAAATGTTTATTTTTTATTAAGTCGCGAATAAACTCCTTTAATATGCTATAGTCTTCCATTATTTTATAATTTATATTTTTTTTTTTTTTTCGTTAAATATTGCTACCATGCCAGATTATACAACAAATGAAATTGTTGATATTATTTATATACTCGGAAAATGTGACGGTAATTACCATGGAATAGCACAATTATTTCGTAATTGCTTTCCGGATTGACAGTATCCGGGTAATTCTGCAAAAATTAGGAGAGTTATTCAACACCAAAGACAACGACCACAAAGACGGCAACAACGTTTTGTTCATGTGTCTGGGCGAGATGATCCACAAGTTTTTGCGGTAATAATCATAAATCCCCATGTGTCTTTATAGAAAGTTGAGAGAAAATTAGGATTTCCAAGATCTACAGCACAAAGAATCTTGGCTATATTCGCTACTTTGATCTTGAAATGACCACCAGGAGTCAATTTGACTCCATAATATAATACATAGCTGAACGTAGAATTTTCTATTCTCTTCAATTTAGCAGTTAGAAGTGGAGGTTTCCATTTAAAGAAACTAAGTTGACTTTCAAATGACTCCTAAACCTGACTAAGATCAAAGTCACTATCAGGTGTCCTCCTCTGAACCCTACTTGAACTTGTTTTGTTAAAAACATTTTTTTCTTAAGTACTTTCCTGAAGAGATATTTCAGTGTATCCTTTAAAACAGGGCTCGGAACAGTTTGCCAATTTCGGTTCATTCTCGGGAGCTACGCCTTCTATCTCTCCCTTGCCGCGCGGCGGGCCTAGAAAGTGACGGTCGCGATCAGTCGCGGCTTCAAGCTGAGAGACACGACCGTCACTTTTTTGGTTCGCCGCGCGGCAAAGAGGAGATAGAAGGCGTAGCTCCAGAGAATCGGCCGAAATTGGCAAACTGTTTCGAGCCCTGCTTTAAAATGAGACACCCTGTATAGATATACAGGGTAGTCTACTTAAATTAACCTTCATTTTTTAAATACCCTACACACATACACACACACGTGCGCGTGGAAGCGCGCACCCATATATATGCGCACATGCACACGGACACGCGAGCGCGCGTACATACATGCACACAGGATATTTCAGAAGTGGAGGACAATAACTTGGGAAATGATTAAGGACCAAAAACAAAAAAAAGAAGTTAGTTTAAACATTGATTCGAAAATGCATTGTGAGAGAAAGGGAGAGGGAGAGAGAGGAGTTTCCGTCATTTTTATATTAAAATTTCAAATTGCTTTGCTTTCGAATTTTCTTGTCAAAATTGAAAGAAAAGATAGTTTTTATGAGTTTTATAATGCAATTAATCAAATAAATGTTATAGGTTGTTTTAGCACTATTCAGGATACACCACGTGCAGGTATAATCTACCTAACATCAAAGAAAGAGGTGCTAAGCTATTCCCCATGTTATTTAATTAGATAACATTAATATATTATCGCGAACGACAATCTATCAATCTTTTTTAATTAACAATTAAAAATCTATAAAGTTATGAAGAAAATGGTATAGGACTTTTTTGTTTAGTTTGACCTAATGTACAAGTATACGATGGCAGACATCGTCACTACAACTCATGTACCATATCTCGCGTGATTATTCACAAATCGTTAATTATATGTCAATAGTTATTACGAATAATTACAAAACGGTATAAGACTTTTATGTTCCTCAATCTGCATTATGTCTCTCCAAGCGTTTCGAAGGTTGTTCTGGGACAGGTTGTATAACTTTTTGAAAATATTGAAAATAGTATCGAGAATCTGTATGTACTCTTTATATATATTATATATATATATATATATATATATATATATATATATATATATATATATATATATATATATATATATATATATATATATATATATATATATATATATATATATATATATATATATATATATATATATATATATATATATATATATATATATATATATATATATATATATATATATATATATATATATATATATATATATATATATATATATATATATATATATATATATATATATATATATATATATATATATATATATATATATATATATATATATATATATATATATATATATATATATATATATATATATATATATATATATATATATATATATATATATATATATATATATATATATATATATATATATATATATATATATATATATATATATATATATATATATATATATATATATATATATATATATATATATATATATATATATATATATATATATATATATATATATATATATATATATATATATATATATATATATATATATATATATATATATATATATATATATATATATATATATATATATATATATATATATATATATATATATTTTTTTTTTTTAACATATATATTTTTTATATCAAAGTTTCACATGGTTGTTTAAAAAAAGACACCGATTCCATTACTTACCCCGATCTATTCTAGCTATATATTAGCTCTAGTATGGTATGAGTCAGATACTGTGTATATAAACATTACATTGACAATTAATAAAATCTTATATTTTATTAAGTAGTCTACTAAAATTTAAATATTATATAAATTTTTGTTATAAATTGTATCTTTTTGTTAACTTGGAAATTATTAACAATATTAATGTTTTTATTTCTAAAGTTTGATATCATGTCTTTAGAACTCATATTAAGCAAGAAATGGATACAATAGAGAGTTCCAGTCAACATCACGTATGTAATGTTTGCGGTGAATGGTTCGAAGAGGCATTGGCACTGTTAGCACATGCAGAACTTCATGCTAGGTATAACCATGTCTTTATTTTTTATTATGCAGCGGTTTCCGCATTGATCGAAGAGATTATTGTCAAAAATATTTTACTGATTGATCTAATATTAAAAAAAAATTATACGCATAGAATTTGATATAATACTGTTGATTGTCTGGTCTTGATTCTCTTCGAATCGGATAAATTTGGAAAACGTATTTAGCATATACTTACAGTACTTTATTTATAACAAGATCTCCTAGTCGTCGTTGTTTACTGTGTGGAGCGAGATGTCGTGACGATGCTGACGTAGCAGAACATGTACGACAATATCACGCTGAGGATGCGCCACCGAATACGTGCACACTCTGTGGAAAGACATGCAAAGATAAGCGTAGCTTATTGAAGCATTCATGGGTCCACAATGTTGATAAAACCTTCGGTTGTACCAAATGCGGAAAACGCTTTCATAGCAAAGCCAGATTGCGAAGGTAAATAAAAATAAAATATTTCCTGTGTATAAACATTTATTTCTGTTATATAATATAATATTCTGTTGTTTCAATATGTTGGGCATTAATCAATTAAAATTTTCTTTCACTGAAGTAATCGGTAAATAAAAAAATTAGTCAATATTGTCATATAAAAATCACAATAATTTAATCAATTGATGGAATTAATTAGTAATCCAACTTTGATGTGATTTATTATATATTGATTAATGAATTTCATCAATTTATTAAATTATTCGTGTAATTATATATATAACGGTTGATTAACTTTGATATTTATTGATTATTTTTATTTATCGATTATTTTATTAAAAAAACATTTTTAATCAATTAATGTCCAACACTACTTAGTTTCAATGCATTTTAAACAGTTTTTCTTTAGTATTGTCTGGAATATAATCGATGTCTATATAATGAAAGAACTTATTTTTTGGAAATTATTCAGAAATAAATTCTCATTAATTATAAGATACATTCCGCGCGCGCGAAAAGCTTTATCGAAAAAAGTGTTCAAACCACATTGAAACAAATTATATATTTCTCTCTATAATTAATTATTTCTTTCTCTCTCTTTCTTTTCATGTATCATATATCGTATGACAATATAGATAAAACATTTATATAAAAGAAAAAAAATATTTTGATATATGCATTCTATTTATATTTCTCTCTATTTTCTATTTATTTAATAAGTTTTTTCATACATGCTTTATTGTTTTGAATAACACTAGTTTACAAAAAAAATTTTTTTATTTTGAATCAGATAAGGTGTTTCTTATAGATTTTTGGATGCCGAAAACGATTCCGTAAACCAAATTTTACCAGCACATCAGGTTTCTTAATACTTCAGGTTTAATATGTACAAAACGGGTTTTTTGGGATATTTGATGTTTTTCTGAAGTAAGAGTAATGTTATCTTGAAATTCTGATTAGAAATAAATATATTGTTTATTCTTTTTAAAATATATTTTTTAAATTTCAATATCTTACTTTTTAATCAAATTATGGAGGATTAAAGCTAAGAACTATCTTCTCATATGGGCGTGCGCGCGCGTTCTGGAGGCAGTATTGCACGCACGATCGGCGGCTTGACCGTCGGACCTTAAGCAATAATCATCGGTCTGAATTTTCTCTAATTTTGAACACTAAATTAAAAAATTTTGAGTTTTATTGTGAAAAAACTTATGTGAAAAGAAGGTATAACTTTTTAAGGGTTTTATGACCGCTCGGAGATCGTTTCATATTTATATTTTCTTATATATTTTTTTTCGTATAGAAACCGGAAATTATTAGTATAATAACACCAGACTTAAAAAGAAAAGATATATATATATATATATATATATATATATATATATATATATATATATATATATATATATATATATATAT